TGCGTGGGAGGTAACAAAAGGGGCCTCGGAAAGGTGGGGGGGGGGGAGAAGAGACGCTGCGCCTGATGGGGGTTCAGCTCTTCGGGACTGCGGCACTGGGTATTTGCTGTCAGCATACAAACTGCTTCCCTGGGACACAAACACTTTTGATGGGGTCAGAAGGATCGCTGCCTTCATCTCCCCCTCCTCTTCCCTGAGCCCAGGATCCTCCGCAGGAATCTCGCATTCCACGTTTGGAAACAGAAGGCCGCACTAAGGGGGACCACAGACTGAGCCAGCCAGACATTTTTATGGATTTGGAGAAGACAAAAACTTGCACCCTGCAGTCTCCCTTTATTAGTTTGCAGCCTTGGTATTTACTTCTTTATCTTGCCCTTCTTACAAGGGCGCCATATGTATTCTGCCTCTGCCTTCCCTTTATTTTCACAACAACCCTGTGAAGTGGATTAGGGGAGAGATAGCGGATGTGAGGCAAGGTCATTGGCGGCTGTGAAGGGATTTGAATCCACAATCCAGCACCCTTATCAGCTATTCCAAACTGACTCTCTTCTGGTAATAGGAAAAACAAATGTACTGGGCCTGTGCTGGTTCAATCTGAGTTCAAAATCTTGCAGTTGAGTATCTGTAGGTGCCTGACTTTGCAGGAGAGAGCGGATCAGGGTGGCTGTGGCTGAGTTACTAAACTGAGACTGGGTGATTCAGGGAAGTCTAGCTCTTTTCCAGAGATCACATTAAGCAGAACCTTCTGTCCATCTGCAAGCAAGGAAGTTGCCGTATTCCATCGGTCCATCTAGCTCTGTATGGTCTACTCTGACTGGTACTGAGTTTCCAGAGTATCAGAAAGAGAGAGGCCTTTCCCAGTGCCTGCTGTCTGAGGTCATTTAACTGGAGATATCAGGAATCGAACCTGGAACCTTCTGCAGACAAGGCTAGGTGCTCTGCTGCTAAGCCATAGCCCCACGGTAGAGGATTTGTTAAGGGACTTGCTGGGCATACTACCAGATACTGAAAGTAGGCAGCTCTAGAAGACGCTAAGGAAACACTACGTTTTGGGCTCTTGTCTATGCCAGAAATACGTCAAAACCCAATAAAAATACGAACTTGTTAGTTGTGCCTCCAAGTCACAGTGATTATTGAAGGCTGATGGACAGAATTTTTGTGTAGTTCTTCATAAGTTCTACTTCTTGCCTTTAACCCCCTCCCCTGAACTTTATTGTACTTTCTAAGTTTATTGAAAGGCCAAAGTTATTGTGATTGTTTGCTGAGGGGTGTCACAGCCGATTTATGGCAAAAACCCCCCCCCCTAGGGTTTTCAAGGCAAGAGACGCTCAGAGGTGCTTTGCCAGGGCTGACCCTGCTTAGCTTCTGAGATCTGACAAAATCAGTCTATCTGCGGCTATCCAGGTCAGGTTAAGCAATGGGCAATGGGCAAATTATTTTTTTTTATCACACTGGAACATAACTTTGTTGGTGTTGTTGTTGCTGCGGAGATACTTTCCTTGGCTAGAAACCTGCGGTTTTGTGTTTGGGAGCCCATCTCAGTTGCTAGTGAATCTTGAGGAAATTAGAGCCACAGGGAAACTGAAGGATTGTTGGAAATCAGAAGTGACTCTTACAAAACTGGTGGTGTTTTTTTCCTTTTCTTTTTCTTTTAACTGGTGGTTTCAAGCATGTTATAGGCGATGCTTGATCAGTACAAACTGAGAAGGGATATTGCTGTCTGTGCTGTATGGACAAGTTCTTGAAGGTGAAGCGGGCTGGATCCATCCCCACATCTAACCATTTCAAATTTCTGACAGAAAATCCCATGGCAGGATCCTGTGAGATTAGCAGCCTTTTTTCAAACTACATCTCTGCCATGTACCAGCCAGAGGAAGTGCCTCCAGATCCAGACGTCCTGACCCACCTTGGGGATGATGACAACCTTCCTCTCCCACTGTCCAACTTGCACATGCCAACAGAAACAACTGGTAGGTGTCCGAGGGTTTATTCTCCAGGGAACATGTTGTGCACTGACAAACTGGATGTGGAGGGTGTTGCTTCCCTTAACAGGGTGATGGCAGCACAGTGCAATCTAGCTTTTGCAATGAGCACACTGGGGGAGTGGTCGGAGACATGGCCTTGAACAAGGTGCACAATGGGTAGCTCGGAGGTTCATGGGAGTGGCTGTTCTGCCCTTCTTATGGGTAATTTTGAGCAACCCCATTGACTGCTACTGGAATATGAGCCCCAGAGGGCTTTACGATCTGCCAGTCGGCATCTCCTGGTGGTCCCCAGCCCCAGGGACGTTTGTCTTGCCTTGACTAGAGGCAAGGGCTTCTTCGGCCCTGGCCTCCACCTGGTGAAATGAGCCCCCATATGAGATCAGGGCCCTGCGGGGCCTTTTACTCTTCCGCGGGGCCTGCAGGATGGAGCTCTTCTGCCAGGGTGTCCCTCCCCCCATGGGCCTTCCCCTCCGTGGGTCAGATCTGTGTTACTATCTGAAATAAACCTCATCTGTTGGGGCACTGATTAGCATATAGGAATTTTGTTGTGTTTTATTGGATGTATTTTAATTGGTTTTAATTGTTCGTGTACTGTGTTTGATGGAACCCGCCCTGAGCATGCTATGTGGGGAGGGCAGGATACAAGCCTAACAAAATAAATAAATAAATAAAAACCGTATGGGGAAAGCTTTGAACACTTGAATTTGGCAATAGTAATAGTAATATTAGTGTGCCGTCAAGTTGCAACCAACTCATGGTGACCCCTGGACCGTGGGCTTCCAAGGGAAGAGAGGAAGTAGTCTGCTGTTGCCTTCCTCTGCATAGCAACCCCAGCCTTCTTAGTTGTCTCCCATCCAAGTACTAACCGTGGCTGACCCTGCTTAGCTTCCGGGCTCTGACGAGATCAGGCTAGGCTCTCAGGCTGTTCCCCTTAACTGCTACTGGGATAATGTATGGAAAAAGCTTTGAACTGTCGGATTGGGCTATATTAATATTATAGTTGAACGCGTTACCATTTCCCTCTCCCATAACCATGGGACATTCCTTACTTGAAGAACTGACCCGGCAGGGATAGGAGAGACTACTGCCTTTGAAGCACCCTGAGTGGCACAGGTCCTCTTTAAACAAGGCAGACGATGGGTAGCTTGGAGAGCTGCTGGGAACTTTTCCAGTTCACCTTCCCAACAGTGAAAAGCAGAAAGAGCAGCCTTTGTAGGGGACGCCACAAGGCATTGCAGAAGCTGCCGTTGTTGGCGACCAGTGGAGGCCTGACTGACTAAGCTTGGAGCTGAGAAACTGCTGTCCTGAATGACCTCACCTTGGTGGGGAGGGGCCTGCTCAGAGATAAGAGAACAGGTGACAGGTGTACGTGTTAGCCACAGTGACTAAACAAGATAAATCTTGTGCGTAAATGAATGGGCCGCACCCTGTGCTGTTCCAGGCAGCAGAGTGTTCTAGACCAGCAAAGCAGTAGCCAGTGCCGCACCTGCTCTGCTAAGCCAGCTCTTTTCTCCCTCCCCCTTCCCCGCTCTGCAGGCAAACCCACGTGGTATGGCGAGATGCCCCACTGCTGGAGCAAGTCTCAAGTCCTGGAGTGGATCAGCTACCATGTGGAGAAGAACAAGTACGACGCCAGTGCCATTGACTTCTCCTGCTGCAACATGGATGGTTACACCCTTTGCCAATACACGCGGGACCAGCTGGGACTAATCTTTGGGCCCCTGGGCGATGAGCTGTATGATCGTCTGCACGAAATCAGTGAGTGTGGCTGTCCCCTCTCGAGGCAGGAACTGGCGAGCTGGGGGGGAATCGGGTGGATCCAAATCTTAGGGCTTTGTTGCCTCACAGGAACAATCCGGAGGTTCTAGAAATCCACGGTGTGGCTGCCACCTTTTATGACTGGTTCGCTCTGTGAAGCTTTTCCAATCCTTTTATACCCATGCCAGATAAAGCTTCACTTGTTGAATTTCTGTACATCCAGCTGCTGTCCAAAGCCAAAGGAGCAGCACCATTTAGTCCATTGGTCCCTGTTTCTCAAAGGCCATCACAGGTTTTTTGATACTTGACCATGATAAATCCTACCGTTTAGAGAATTGGGAAAGCATCTCTCAGCTTGTCCCTTGACAATGCAGGGGGTAGAATCCATGATGGCAGCATTCAGTCTTATTCACAAGGGATATTGAGGCATGTATCTTTCTCCTTACTTGCAGCTTCAGTACCAGATGAACTGGCCTGGATTATGTCCGTGCTGAGGAATGAAGAGGTTTCCCAAGAGTCCCTTTTGGACTCCAACCCTTTAGGTGAGAGGAGAAATGCTTTGGCTGTTCTCTCTCTGTCTCTTTCATGATTTCCCATGTTGTGGATGGATGTGTGTGTAACTCCCAGTTGCCTTCTTTGTTTGTAGACCTTGGGAACTCTTGCTCTCAGGAGTACCTGGAGGAGATGAAGTTAGCAAACCTTTTCTCACAGCCTGACCTTGGCTACTTCTCTGGAGCCATGTCACCAGACAGCTCTGGGTCTGTCACAGGTATGGCTACTGTATGCTCTCAGCTTCTGCTTACCTCTCAATCAACTCTGTCTTAAGTATTATGGGGCAGACTGGTCTTAACAGGTCCAACCAGCTATAAAATCTGCTTCTATCAGCTGTGAGCATCCTGGCAACATCTGGCTTCACTTTGTGGGCTATACTCAGCCTCTTCATGCTTCCCATGAACAAGAAGTTGCGCGTCTTAGAAATGGGATGACAGAGTGTAATTTCCTCTCCTTCATCCATATTTGCCAAGCAGAGGACACTTGGGGGAACCCTCTAGAAGAGTTTGGACCTTGCTTTCTGCTTGCTGCAGTAGCTGAGATTTCATATGCTTTTCTTTCTCTTCAGGGACTATGTCACAGAGCCCTCACTCTCAGGACTCCGGTGGAAGTGACCTTGATCTTGACCCCATAGATATGAAGCACTGTCCCTTTTCTGATGGTGAGAAATGTTTGAGCTTATCAGTGGGAGCCTGTGTGTGAAAGAGAGAATATGTGCCCATACTTTCGGAGACCTTTTGTTTACACAGTGACAAAGGCAAACTAAGTCAGGACAATCAAGTTTCCAGTCCTGTCTACCAAAAGCATGTAGCCAAACATAAAACATTGAGGGAAAATGAGTGCCTGCAACACCTTGGAGCTTTCTAGTGTTTCAAGAAAGAGCTTTAGTTTTATTTCCTGGGCATCTGGCAGAGAGAAGGCTAACCTTCGCTAAATTCCTGAATCTAATTAGAATGCCAGGGCTCAGCCCCAGAACAAATTAAGTATTAAAGTAGGTTTTGAGCTTGTCTGTGTGTAGTACTTCATGAAAGGGCGTCCAAGAAAACATCATTTTCTTACAAGTTTAACCCCCTCCCCCACAGCACTTTAGAATATAATATTCTAGCTTTGCTGTCACAAATGTAAACCTTGGTTGCCTTGGTCAGATGCTGTTCTGTGTCGGTAGACCGTAATCATGGGAAATCCATCATCATAATAAAACTGGGATATTGTCAAATCCTCATAACATTTCTCTAGGAAGCAAGGATCCATAGCTAACTCTGTAGTATATGTTTGCTATAGGACTCATTTAGACAAACCAAGGTTGTGCCCATCCATGCTTGAGGGCCCAAAGCATACTTGAAGGACCAAACCACATATATGGAGTTGGGTTTCACATTGTCCTGCAACTGGTTCTTTGTAATTAAAAGCTACCGTGTGTGTGTAGCAGTAGGAAAGGACTGCTTAATTCTTGGGATAAAATTTTCCACTGAGAGTCAACTCCAATTCCTTTTGTCTTCATAGAGGAGATAAGAGGGAGCTGTTATCTTCCCCATGCAGGGAGGAAAACAACTTGGGAGAGTGATTTTGAGTGGGAAAATGGTCTTACAAGAAATAAAAACAAAAAGAAAGCTGGCTAGTATGTATCATTTGACCCTTAGAACTAGATGAAGTTGTCAGATCACAATAATAGAATGATAGCCGGAATGATAGCGAGCACCGAAGATTGCTGATCTGGTAACTTCTGGTATCTGAGAATTCTGACAAGTCCTTGAATCAGGCAGGGAAAGGACAGAAAGGAAACTGCAACCAGACATGAAGCCAACAACAAACCAACACTGGTGTCTGGAATGAGAAACTTCAGTTTAGCTTCAGAGGTTCCCAAACTTATTTGGGCTACCGCCCCCTTTTCAGGAAAAAAAAATTACTCCGCGCCCCCCTGGACATCTACCTTCAAGAAGTGGACAAAAAGATGCAGTTTGTGGATCTGCACCTGGATCGCTCCAGTCCACCTGGATCGTTCCAGCGTCCCCGAGTATTGCCCACTTTGGGAACCAGTGGGATAGATCAGCAAATGGAAACTAAGAGAAGTAAAATTGGAATCAATGTAAATGTTGGTTTCTTTAAATTTCACTTTTAGTTTTACCTGTTCATAAACACACTCTTCTTAGTGACAGAATGTGAAAACAAACAATTTAGTTAGTGCTTGTAAGTGAGAAGATATTGCTGTGACACAAGAGGATAAAGGATGTGCTTTATCATGGAAGACCACTCCATATAGTGGGAGCCACTGTTGAGAAAGAAAGAAAGAAGAAGCTGTAGTAGATTGGAAGCCTGCAGCCTTTGCAAGGTTGGGGTAGGCAAAAGGTGGCAACCAGAGAAGCTTAAGTGGCACATGGGGGTATAGGTTGAGAGATGGTCCTTGATGTGCTCTGGGAGATAAGACTATATGTATCGTGCTTTTCCTCCTGTTCCTGCAGGTGACTATAAGAAAGACCTCAAAAAGCGGAAAAGGGGACGACCCAGGAAAGCCAGCAAGGAGAACAGAGACTGTCTGGAGACCAAAAAGAGCAAACACTGTACGTGAATCCCCTTCATGGCTAGGAACGGTTCAAGACATTGTGGCCATTTCCTGCAGCCCTCGATTTTCTGCCTCAGCATCCTTGGGGGCACAGCTCTCAGGCTGTACACTGCTTGATAGATGCACTTCAGTATCCCTGCCCATGTTGATAGATGCACTTCAGTATCCCTCCCCATAGCACCCCCTTGAGTTGCTTGTGCCAGTCCTCCACCCAGGGGAGGCACCTACACAATCAAGATTCATAAACAGTGCATAAGACACAGACATGACACAGCCTTTAGCACTTTTATCCCAGAGGGACAAAGGCAATGCATTGTTGATCACCTCACTGTTGATCACCCTCATGTCTGCCAAACTGTCTCCCTGTATAACAGAGATCCAGCTTCTTGTTGGGCTGAACAGCGCCAACTCAGCTGCCTGGCAAAGTCTCCTGATTCAGAGCTGGCTCAGATGATCAGCCACGTTACTTGTGCTCTGACACCCATGGAAACTTATAGCCTAGGGACCTCCTCCTTGCCTCCAGACAGCTGATCCTAAATGGGGGCCATTTTGTGATTATTTTTTTGGTTGTTTTCCTTCCTCTTCTCTTTCGAAGCAGCCCCAAGAGGCATCCACCTGTGGGAATTCATCCGGGACATCCTAATTCACCCAGAGATGAATGAGGGGTTGCTGAAATGGGAAGACCGGCGAGAAGGCATCTTCAAGTTTCTGCGTTCTGAGGCAGTGGCTCAGCTCTGGGGACAGAAGAAGAAGAACAGCAGCATGACCTACGAGAAGCTGAGCCGGGCCATGAGGTGGGTGCCATGGCAACAAGGCTGAACGGGGGGGGGAGTGTTTAAAAACAGTAATTTGGTATGACAGGAAGCACAGATTTCTATAATACTGTTCTGTGGGGACATTTCCATCACCATATTTCTGACCAAAGGCAAACACCCTATTTGAAGCTTTCCTGCATTGGGGGGACGGGATTTATTTTTCAAAGAAAGTGGGGTATGTTATTTATATAGGGCTATACAGAGAATACAGAGTAATAAAAGGGGGGGAACAGGTTGGGCCCTAACTAACTTATAACCTATATTTAAACTGTGAGAGGACAACAAAGGAGAAAGAGGAAGGAATGGACCATTGATGATAACAAGGGGTAGATGTGAGCCAATGCAGTTGCATGCATCTAGGTTTAGTCTGAGTAGGGAGTGTAAGTCTAAACTAAAGATTTCCACCCCTCCAAAAATGGGATTTGAGGAGGGATTTGAAGGACTAGCACCATGTTAATTTTCCAGAAGGGTGTTTGTGGCGTAGGAGGCAACCAATGGATTCAAATCCTCAGACACAAAATCTCAACCACAAAAATGAACTTGGATAGCTATGAATAAGTCACGCTCTTTCGGCTTAATTTACCTCATAGGTTTATTCATCATATTTATAATCTCACCTTTCCCCCGAGAGACTCAGGACAGCATCCTGTTTTTCTCCCACACAACAACCATGAGCAGCAGGTTAGGCTGAGATGAGAGAAC